CACGGTCCGACACAGGCACAGGCCGCGCGGCACCCGAGGCGGCGAGCCGGCAGATGGGGCGCGCCCACCACCCGCCGGACGGGCGCGTCGGGGGCGAGGGGCCCGGGGCGGCGCGCGGCAAGAGGGGACAGGCTCTCCGCTTCGAGACCGAAAACCGCCGCGCGAAAAGGGGCCGCACCGCAGGTCACGCGTTCCGCGCAGGCGCTGCCCGAAGGGGGCGGGGCAGGGCGCCAAAAGCCATACTCGGTCCGCCCCGGACCTTGCGTCACCAGCTCGCGCCGAAGCCGGAAGTACCGCGCGGGCGCCTTCTCTTCTCGAGCTCTGAACTGGAGGCAACGGTGTATTTCGTCATCATCCCGCGCCGACGCAGGCAGTACCTCAGGGTACGCGCCGGTCGCGATTCTCGAGTTCTGGACCAAAGGTCACTGTGTGCGTCATCATCCCGCGCCGACGCAGGAAGTGGCGACGCTCCTCGCGCGCGCCGGCCGCTGTTTCTTCTTTGGCTCCGGGACCGGCGGTGGCGGCAGCGGCGGCGGCGGCGCAGGGGTGAGTGGCGGACGGGGCGGGACAGGCGGCGGGCGCGGCGAGAAGTGCGCACCCGGAGTCTCGAACCAAGCATGTCTCGGGTGGACGTGGGCCGGGGCGAGCGACGCTCAGACCCCCGGCCAGTCTCGTCCCGCGCGGAGCTACGAGAGGCGGAGGTGGCAGGCCCCGGAGCCCACCCCGCAGGACCGAGCCTCGGGTGTGCGGGGCTCTCCCGCGGAAGCAGGCCCGGCCCCGGGGCAGGGGCCTTGCTCGCGAGCACACCCCGGAGCGTCTACCGCCTGGCCTCGAGGGGCAGCCGTCCAGGGCGCCGGCCTCCGCCCAGGGTGTCCCCCTCGTAGGCTTTTGTGGCGGCGGCCGCGGTGCGTGACGAGGACTGGGTACCGCGCTAGCAGGCGTTTCCGGATGATCTTTAGTTCTCCAACCGTGCTGTCGTGTCGGTGGTGTTAGCTCATTTACAGAGGAGCAAACGGAGGTGAAGTGCGTTGTCCAGGACCACACAGAAGTGACGGAAAGGGGGTTTGATTCCAAGCACTCATTTTTCAGACTCCTTTTTTTTCTCCTTTTGTGTTGTAAGAGCCTGGGATCTCGCTCCATGGCCCATGCTGGAGTGCAGTGGCCATTCACGGGCGCGATCCTAGAGCAGTACAGCCTAAAACTCCTGGGTTCCAGCGATTCTCCTGCCTCAGTTTCCTGAGTAGCTAGAACTACAGGCGTGTGCCATGTGCGCCGTGAAGCCTACCGCCCTTAGCGGTTTATTCTAAGGTGCTCGAAAGTGATTAGGGTTAAGTTCAAAAACAGCAGCGCACCCCACCATAGCTTCCTGTGTCCTGATATAGGCTGACTTGTTTTTCTTTTTGCAGTGTTTTAACTCAAATGGGTGATGAAAAGGATTCTTGGAAAGTGAAAACTTTAGATGAAATTCTTCAGGAAAAGAAACGAAGGAAGGAACAAGAGGAGAAGGCAGAGATAAAACGCTTAAAAAATGTAAGCCATGTTTTTTAAGTAAGTGGTTTTCTTAAAGGCGATTTAATTTCTTTGCCCTCATTTTTCCATTAGAACAACGCTTCTTCGGTGAAGTTCTTTTGTACTTCCAAATGTCACAGGTGAGCCTAAAATAAAATCTATTCTAAAAATTAACAAAAACATTCAAGTACTCAGTTAACATTAAAGACAGATTGTTAACACACTAAAGCTGTGTCTAGATGAGCATACCTGAAGAATAAAATATTTTGAACCTAAAGTTATTAGTGCAATTGAACTAATTTTTCTTATTTCGTTATTAGTATATCTGTAATACTATTTTCAAGTATTTTTAGTGTAGTGAGAACTTTCTTTGAAATTAATATAAATGTTTTACTTCTTTCTTGGTTTGCATAATAATGTACTCAAAAAAGCTTTTTAGTAATTTGATCAGAGGCATTGGCAAAGTACATCCTCGGATAAGACTAGTAACAGATCATTTTGAAGTATTTATGAGTATAGGCATACCTTGCTTTATTGTGCTTCACAGATACTGTGTGGTTGGGGTTTTTTTTTTTTTTCTTTCCCTCTTTTTTCCAAATTGGAGGTTTATGGCAACCCAGTATTGAGCAAGTCTGTTGGAGTCATTTTTCCCACAGCATGTGCACATTTTTTTAGCAGTAAACTAATTTTTATTAAAGTGTGTCCACTGCTTATTTATACAGTGCTGTTGCACACTGAAGTATGGTTTCAACATAACATGTATACTGGGAAACCAAAATATTTGTGTGGCTCATTTATTGTGGTGGGACTAAACCTGGAATAGCTCCAAGGTATGCCTGTACCATATGAGGTGTTGTAAAATATTTGATGTGTAAAATATGGCTTGAGGCTCCTTTTTGGCTCATGTAAACAACTAACATACTTTGCATAGAGTCTAATGTACTTTGTCATATGTGCTGGTTTTAAATTTCTTGTCTCGGGTTTTGGTTAACAGAATTTTGATTTTAATATCATGGAATTTGAATGAAAGTGTTTTGTATTTCATAAAATTGGTTCACTCCGAGTGTATATAAAAGTTTCTTTTGAGATGTTGGCCAAGTTTGTTTATCATTAAAAATACTTTTATGTGTAAGGAAAATGACCTTTCTCTTTGCCTTCTTAGTCTGATGACCGGGACTCCAAGCGAGATTCCCTTGAAGAGGGGGAGCTGAGAGACCACCGCATGGAGATCACAATCAGGAACTCGCCGTACCGAAGAGAAGACTCCATGGAAGACCGGTGAGAGAATATGGAGGGAATACAAGGGCAGTGTGGGAAGTCACACTGGGACCGTGTACACAGTCTTGGCCTGGCTGGTCTTCCCCAGTGTTGCTTTGAGAAAGTGCATCATCGTGGCTTCAGGTTTAACCCATGGTTGCGATAGACCCTCGTGTGGTATCCATTGTCACTTCACCCCCCTTGCTCCACTTCCTGTGACCAGCTGAGTGACCATGTATTCCTTTCTCTGTGGCTAATTGTTAGTTAGGTCAGCACCATGTACATGATATATTTAAATGTTTGCCATATGTTGTAGTCATTGGTAAGATTTGCCATCCCAGATCTTGTACACGTGAACCAAGTAGGGTGCCTGATGGCACCTGAGAGAAGCTGCTTGTCAGAAGCTTTATGCTGTGACTTATGTGTTCTGACATGCCTTTCAGTGCCATCAGATACAGAAAGGAAATGGCCAGAAATGAGGATAGAATTGTTGTCCTGCAAAGCTCAGGGAGTGAATTTCCCATGATTTTGGTTACATAGAGGTCATTTGAAGACACTCTTTTGTGACCTTTTGAGATTATTAGGGCTGATACTTGCAGGATATTTTTAAACAGCTTTACTGAGGTATAAATGACATAAAAAGAGCAACTTATAGTTAAACCGTACAGTTTGATAGATTTGTATGCCCAGGAAACTATCACCACAATCAAGATAATGAGTCCCCTAAAAGTCCTCAGGGAGGCATTTTTGTTCTACTTTGCCACACTGACTTCTCATTTTTCATCTGAATCTTGGGGTGACTTAAGTTTGAGAATTAGTGTCCTTCTTTAAACAAGGGTTTAGGTTCTCCTTCCCACCTAAATCCTGCACTTTGCTGGGTTGGAGACACTTCGTAACACCCTTGTGCTTCTTTCCACTTTCTTAAGCACGGTGCTCTTGTATCTTATTTCAGAGGAGAGGAGGATGATTCTTTGGCCATCAAACCACCCCAGCAAATGTCTCGGAAAGAAAAAGCTCATCACAGGAAAGATGAAAAGAGAAAAGAGAAACGTAGGCATCGTAGCCATTCAACAGAAGGGGGTACAGAGTGTTTGTTTTCTTTAATGTCAGTGTGCAAGTGTGGTTGATTCTCTAGCTCATGGTCCACTGCTTTCCCAGAGCACAGAAGAAAAGGAAGAGAAACAAAATATTAGTTAGAAGTATGAATTTACTATAAATTATTCAGGATAGCTACTTTGTTTTTCTGCGGGTGTTTTTTTCTCCCCCATGGTATCATTTTGCAGTAATTTGTTTTCGTTTAAAATTATCTTAAGCCAGGCATGGTGGCTCATGTCTGTAATCCCAGCACTTTGGGAGGCAGAGGTGAGAGAATTGCCTGAACCCACAGATTTGAGACCAGCCTGAGCAACATGGCGAAACCTTGTCTCTACAATAAATCAAAAAATTAGCCGGCTATGGTGGCATGCACCTGTAGTTCCAACTACTTGGAAGGTTGAGATAGAAGGATCACCTGAGCCCAGCAGGTCGAGGCTGTGGTAGCTGTGAGCATGCCACTATATCCCAGCCTGGGCGACAGAGTGAGACTCCAACTCAAAAAATAAATACATAAAATAAAATGATCTTAATTCAACAAGCATACTAGGGAAACCACACCAAAAAATGGGTATTCATTCATTTCTCAATAATGGGTTTGTTGTGACTGGTGGTTTGGTCAAGGGGTTTTTTGTTTTTTTTTTTGGAGTCGAGTCTTACTCTGTCGCCCAGGCTGCAGTGCAGTGGCATGCTCACAGCCACTGAGCATCAATCTGCTGGGCCCACGTGATCCTTCTGCCTCAACCTTCCACGTCAATGGGTTTTTATGGATTTTAGGAAAACTAGACCTGGAGGCTGATTTAAATCTTATTATTATACATAAGATGATTAATGTAGTTTCATAATATGATATAGGAACCCACAAATAGCAAAGGTTCATTCTGTATTCTTTTGTTTTATTTTTGTTTTTGGTTTTTTTTGAGTTGGAGTCTCAGTCTGTCACCCAGGCTGGAGTGCAGTGGTATACTCACAGCCACCCCAGCGTCAACCTGCTGGACTCTGGTGATCCTTCCCCTCAGCCTTCCAAGTAGCTGGAACCACAGGCGTGTGCTACCATGTCCAGCTAATTTTTTATTTATTTGTTGTAGAGATAAGGTCTCACCAAGTTGCCCAGGCTGATCTCGAACCCGCAGGCCCAGGTAATCCACTCGCCTCGGCCTCCCAAAGTGCTGTGATTACAGGCTAAGCTACTGAGCCAGCCCCATTCTGTATTCTTTATGAATGGTGCTTTTTTAAAAATTATGAAATTAGGGCCAGGCATGGTGGTTCATGCCTGTAATTTCAATGCTTTCAGAGACTGATAGGGAAGGATCACTAGAGGCCAGTTTCAGACCAGTCTGGGCAACACAGTGAGACCTCATCCCTACAAAAAAAATTTTTGTTAATTAGCTGAGTGTGGTGGGGCCTGTAATCTCAGCTACTCAAGAGGCTGAGACAGAAGGATCATCTCAGCCCAGGAGTTTGAGGCTCAAGTGAGCTATGATTGTGTCACTGTACTCCATCTGGGTGACAGAGCAAGACCAAAAACCTATCTCTCAAAAATAAGTAAATAAATAAAATTATGGAACTAAGCTGGGCTCGGTGGCTCAGCCTGTAATCCCACGTCTTTGGGAGGCTGAGGTGAATGGATTGCCTGAGCCCGCGGGTTCGAGACCCGCCTGGACAACTTGGCGAGACCTCGTCTCTACGATAAATCAAAAAAATTAGCCGGGCATAGTAGCGTGTGCCTGTAGTTCCAGCTACTTGGAAGGCTGAGCCGGAAGGATCACCGGAGCCCAGCAGGTCGAGGCTGCGGCGGCCACTGCACTCCAGTCTGGGCGACAGAGTGAGACTCCAACTCAAAAAAAAAAAAATTATGGAACTAGCTTTTTTTTTTTCCCCCTTGAGTTGGAATCTCACTCTGTCGCCTAGGGTGGAGTGCAATGGCACACTCATGGCCACCCCAGCATCAACCTGCTGGGCTCCGGCAATCCTTCTGCCTCAGCCTTCCAAGTAGCCGGAACTATAGGTGCCCACTACCACATCTGACTAATTTTTTATTTATTGTGGAGATGTCTTACCGGCGAGATCACTGGGCTGGTCTTGCCGCAGGCTCAGGCAATCCACCTGCCTTGGCCACCCAAAGTGCCGGGATTACAGGCTGAGCCACCGAGCCCGGCTAGAACTAACTTATTTTAATTGTAGTTCATTCAGTATAGAAGACTTAAAATAGAAAATGAAAATCACAATTCTCTTATTCAGTCATAATCACATTGTTTTGGGTGTTTTTCTTTTATAATTTGATGTTTACTGCCTAAATTTTAATCTTCTGGTTTTTTTATTTAACATAAAATCATGCTTAAAAGTTATTTAAGCCGGGCTCGGTGGCTCAGCCTGTAATCCCGCGCCTTTGGGAGGCTGAGGTGAGTGGATTGCCTGAGCTCGCGGGTTCAAGACCCGCCTGGGCAGTGAGACCTCATCTCTACAATAAATCAAAAAATCAGCTGGGTGTGGTAGCACATGCCTGTAATTCCAGCTACTTGGAAGGCTGAGGTGGAAGGATTGCCGGAGCCTGGCAGGTCGAGGCTGCGGTGGGCGGGAGCGGCCACTGCACTCCAGTCTGGGCGACAGAGTGAGACTCCAACTCAAAAAAAAAAAAAAAAAAGTTATTTAACTATTTCTTCTCCTCTTTACTTGATTTAATTTAATTTTCAAGTTAGATTTTTGGAAGTGAATTCTTTGGATGACATTTCTTATTTCTCATTAGGGAAGCACGCTAGAGTGAAAGAAAAAGAAAGGGAGCACGAACGTCGGAAACGACATCGAGAAGAACAGGACAAAGCTCGCAGGGAATGGGAAAGACAGAAGAGGAGAGAGATGGCAAGGGAGCATTCCAGGAGGGAGAGGTGAGAGGGCTGGAGTTGTCAAGGCTTGAATGCAGAGTTTGTGGCACATAGCGTCCCATCAGGGCAATGAAAGAACAGCAAGAACTGGATAGTGGAAAGCAGATTTGGTGCAGAAATGCTGTGTGGGCTGGGGCGTGGCCCAGGAGATGTGGGCTGTTCCGCCAAGACAATAGTCGGTAGGGGGGAGGGTCAGAAATGGGTGTAAATTGATTGAGAGAAGATAATGAAGGAATCAGAAGCCTGTGTGTCAGATTCCTCTCAGGGAAGACTGGTGGGAGGTGATCCGGAGCCAGTCTGACTCCTGCCAAAGATCCCGGGTCAGTGTGAATGGTCAGGAGGAGGCCATGCTGCGGGAATAAGCTGGAGGTCTGAAATGGGAGCTCCCCCATGAGGAAATGAAGTCTGAGGTCAGACATAGAACATGGAGATGGCGAGGAAGGCACGGTGGGGAGAACGATCTTCTCAGACCTGTATGCTGAGTGCAGTGAAGGAGAAAACCTGGTACTTCTGGGCCTGGGCCATCGGCATGGGGGGAGGAGCTTCCTCTGGGAGAGGGTCTGCACATGTGTTCAGCAGCGTGCTGTATTTAAGTGACATTATCTCACAGTGTCAGCCTGTCCTTGTACATGAGTTCAGACACAGTGTACAAGAGCTGTCTGGTGGGGGTGATGCATCACCTGTTCACTTAGGAGGTATTTACTGAGCATCTGTTCCGTATCCAGCCCTTTTCTGGGTTGTCAAGGCCAGGCAGACTCAAGAAATAAACTACTTAGGTTTCTTTGGGTCACATAAGAAACAGACTCTGGTCCTTTCAAGCTACAGAAAAGAATAATAAGGATCTCAGGATGCTTGGAACATTCTGGAAACTGGAACAACACACTCCTTGGTGCAAGCCTCCCAGTGCCTCTTTGGAAGCTCAGAGTCCCAAGAAAACATCAGTATAGCCCCAAATCTGTTCTCTGTGACCCAGGTAAAGGACCTGCAGATCAGGTGTGAGCAGGCCACCCCTGCATATGGAGGTCATGTTCACAGAAAGCTCAGGAGCCAACCTACTGCCAGGAAAGAAAACTCTGAAGTGGAACGACCTTACCCATCAGCACAGGGAGGGAGGAGCTTCCTCTGGGGGTGGTAGGGTCTGCATGTGTGTTCACAGCATGTTGTGTTTAAGCTGTGGTAAAGAGTGGTATTATCTCACAGGATGTCAGCCTGTCGTCCATGTGTTTGAGTTCAGAAACAGCTGTTGACCACCCCAGCAACCAGGGTCGAATGTCCAGTGTGTACAGAGGCTGTGAGGGGAACACATTCCCTCTGGTGTGAGGGGTGCAGGAGGTGCTGAGGTCTCTTGGGGGTAAGCAAAGCTCTAAGCATCCAAGTTCCTCTAAGTATGAAACATCCGTGTTTGTCTTCCAAGCCTTGTGCCAGACATGGAGTGTGAGGAGGTGCCCCGGGACAGAAGTGGAGGTTGGTAGATGACATGTGGGCTTCCGTGTTTTTCTGAAAGGTGAAGGCAGAAGGAAGGAACAAAAGGTGTCTGTTGGACGGGCTTCTGGTAGAGCAGGATACATTTGCCCAGTCTAGAGCTGTGTGTGGTAGCACGTGCCTATAGTCCCAGCTGTTTGGGTGACTGAGGTGAGAGGATTGCTTGACCCGGGAGTTTGAGATGTGTTGAGCTATGATCACGCCACTGCATTCCAGCCTGGGTGACAAAATGAGACCTTGTCTCTTAAAAGACCCACCAGAGGATAGTCTGAAGTATAGTTATGCCTGAAAATGTGCTGGACTGAATAGGAACAGTGAGAATCCAACCTTGCAGTCTGAGAGCTGCTTCCTTTTCTGCCTCTGCCCCTGGCTTGGTGAGCAAAGAGTTTGCAGAACAGGGCAGGCCATGGGGACCCATGGCCTTTCTGCTGCCTTGGAGAGGGTCACTCGGTCTGGTGTGATGGGTGATGCCCTTGCCCACCAACATTGTCAGGGGAAGGCCAAAGGATCATCCAGAATTAGCTGCAGTTGTAGTTGCAGACCGGCATGTTCTGGCCAAGGATGTGCAGCAGAGACTGGAGGGAGTGCAAGCCACCGCACCCTTCTGACCAGTCCTGAGGCTGTGCCATCAGGACAAGGCCCAGCAGAAAGTAGTGACCGCCACAGATTCACGTCCCAGAAAGTAATGACTGTCACAGCTTCAAATGTGCCCCTCCGTCCACACACAGATCTTTTAGCAGAGGAGCCTTCCTGTGGCTCAGGGTATTTGAGCCCAATGTCTTTCCAGTGTTGGCTGATCGCTAAGCCATGCAGGTGCAGTGGGTGTCCCTAGAAAGCCATGCCTGGAAAGTAAGCATATGGGCGATAGCAGCAGCAGCAGCCATGTTCTATAAGGGAGCTAGATTTCAGACTTAGACCAGACAGGTTACCAAACAAACAGCAGCACCTGTGGGGGTATGCAGACTTGCTGCCATTTATTTAATATTTCTTTTTTTTTAAATTTTAATCAATATTTTTTATTATGGTTTTGTGGGGTACAGTTAAGGGTTAGGTGTACAGTTACGTTTCGTTCAGGCATCCTGTTGATAAGAGGTGTTTCCCCATCCCCAGACAGATATTTGCTACTGTTAATCCCACCCCCCTCCCCCCCATATTTAATATTTCTTACAAATAAATATTAGAGTGTTGCCCATACTGAGGAAGAAAGTCATTGATAGAAGCTGTCTCTGAGCGTGCCAGGTTTGTAACTCAGTAAAGACACGGAGACGAGGAACTCGAAGATGGAGTCGCAAAGTCCGTCCTGGCCGGGCGCGGCGGCTCAAGCCTGTAACCCCAGCACTCTGGGCGGCCGAGGCGAGAGGGTTGCCTGAGCCCACGGGTTCGAGACCTGCCTGGGCAACTTGGCGAGACCTCGTGTCTGCAATAAATCAAAAAATTAGGTGTGGCAGTGAGCGCCTGTGGTTCTGGCTACTCGGAAGGCTGAGGCAGAAGGATCACTGGAGCCCAGTGGTTCAACACTGGTGTGGCCGTGAGCACGACACTGCACTCCAGCCTGGGCGATGGAGGGAGACCCCATCTCAAGAAAACGAAAAAGGAAGTATCCATTCCAGGCCGGGTACGGTGGTTCAAGCCTGTAATCCCAGCACTTTGGGAGGCCTCGGCGAGAGGATTGTCTGAGTCCAGGGGATCGAGACCAGCCTGGGCAACTTGGTGATACCTCGTCTCTCTAATAAATCACAAATTAGGTGGGCGTGGTGGCACACGCCTGTAACTCCAGCTACTTGGAAGACTAAAGTGGAAGGATCGCCTGAGCCCAGTAGGTCGAGGCTGCCGTGGCCATGAGCGTGCCACTGCACTCCAGCCTGGGTGTCAGGAGTGAGACCTGTGGAGCATCTCTCGTACCAACATACATGTAAGGGGAGTCCCAGGAGATGAAGGGTATACAATAATGACTGAAAACTTCCCAAGTTTTATTTTTTAAAAAGTGTACGTAGCCGAGAATCTCAGTGAATCTCAAGTCGGATCAATACAAAGTCACATAGTCAAACTGGTGACAGCTGAGAGGCAGTCCTGACAGTTGGCAGGGAAGGACCCTCACGTGCGAAGGGAGTATCAGCACAACTAGTAGTCAGCTGCTCATCTGTGCTGGAGGCCAGAGGCCAGACTAAGAGGGGTTGTCAGCCAGGAATTGCACACCAGCAGAATGTTTTCACAGAAGCGAGAGGGAAATCAAGCCAGTCCCTAAGAAGCAAGGCCAGGCTCGGTGGCTTAGCATCTGTTCCCAGCCCTTTGGGAGGCTGAGGTGAGTAGATCGCCTGAGCTGGTGGGTTTGAGACTCACCCGGGCAACTTGGTGAGACCTCATCTCTACAATAAACCAAACATTAGCCGGGCATGGTAGCTGTGCCTGTAGCTCGGGCTACCTGGAAGGCTGAGGCGGAAGGATCGCCGGAGCCCAGCAGGTCGAGGCTGCACTCCAGCCTGGGCGACAGAGTGAGACTTCAACTCAGAAAAACAAAAAAAAAGCAAAGGCAGGTGGAATTCATCTTTAGCAAGACCTGCATTAAAGGAAGGCCTTGAGGCAGAAAGGAAGTGACACCAGATAGTACCTTGGGTCACAGGAGGGAAACAGAACTGCAAATGGCAAGTGTGCAGGTTGACACCAGATATTTTGTGAATATGCTGCAAGACTTTTGATTATGTAAAATAATTACACTGTTGTCATGCGTATGTAATACATGGACTGCACAAAGGAGAAGGGAGGGAGTGGAACTGTTACAGCAAAGCTTCTGTATTTCACTGGAATTAAGTTATGTTATGATGCGTATTACAATGCCTAGAGCACCCCTGGAAATAACTTTTTAGGCCAGGCTTGGTGGCTCACACCTGTAATCCCAACAATTTAGGAGACCGAGGCAGGATTGCTTGATCCCAGGAGATTGAGACAAGCCTGGGCAACATGAGGAGACCTCATCTCTACAATAAATCAAAAAATTTAGCCAGGCTTGACGGCACATGCCTATAGTCCCAGCAACTCAGGAGGCTGAGGTGGAAGGATTGCCTGAACCCAGGAAACACTCCAGCATGGATAACAGAGTAAGACCCTTGACCCCCGCACCCCCCCCAAAAAAAGAAGAAAATAGGCCAGGTGTGGTGGCTCAACCTATAATCCCAGCACTTTGGGAGACCGAGGCAAGAGGATTGCCTGAGCCTGGGGATTCAGGACCAGCCTGGGCAACTTGGTGAGACCACGTCTCTACAATAAATTTTAAAAAATAAGCCAGGCATAGTAGCACACACCTGTAGTTCCAGCAACTTGGAAGGCCGAGGAAGAAGGATTTCCTGAGCCCAGCAGGTCAAGACTGTGGTGGCGGTGAGTGTGCCACTGCACTCCAGCCTGGGCAACAGAGTGAGACTCTTGGGAGGCTAAAGTGGAAAGATCACCTGCGCCCAGCAGGTCGATGCTGTGGTGGCTGTGAACGTGCCACTCTACTCCAGCCAGGGTGATGGAGTGTAACTCTGATAAAAATAAACAAACAAAAAACAACAGAAAGAAACCTGGAGAAATCCTCAAATGTTAAGAAGTTTTACAGCATATGTCTAAATAGCCCATGGCTCAAAGGAATCATTATAAGGAAAATAGAAAATATTTTGAATGAAATTAAAAGGTATTAGATTTTAGGGTTGCAGCTAAGGCAGGGCTTAGCATGAGCACCTGGGTCAGAAAAGGGGGTTGTCATGTTAGCAACCGAGGATTTTGCACGAAGAAGCTAGAAAAAAGAACAGACTTAACGCAAAGCACACAGAACAAACGTCCAGAAGATCTACAGGAGACAGCAAGCAGCTTGCTGGGAGCCATGGGCTTGTGGGTGTCCACAGGCGTGTGCTGGGTGAGGATACAGTTCAGGACTGGCTAATGGCAATGACTGCACGATTTCATACATTCACTAAAAACTGCTGGATTCGGTGGTTCAGCTTTATATGTCAAGTTTTCCTTTTTTTATTTTGAAGTAGCTTTGAACCTATAATTGCAGAACGGTGCCGAGATGCCCAGAACTCTGCATCCAGCTTCCTTCAGCATGAGCGCTGACGGTGGTCAACAGTGGCTCGCTGCCATTACCCAGACTACAGGCCTCCATTTTACTGTTGTTTACACATGTTCCTTTTTCTGTATGTAATGAGGCTTTTTAAAAAAACATTTGTTGGCCGGGCTCGGTGGATCAAACTATAATCCCAGCTCTTTGGGAGGCTGAGGTGAGTGGATTGCCTGAGGCTGCGGGTTTGAGACCCGCCTGGGCAACTTGGTGAAACCTCATAAATCAAAAATTAGCTGAGCGTGGTGGCACACGCCAGTAGTTCCAGTTACTTAGGAGGCTTAGGTGGAATGATCACTGGAGCCCAGCAGTTCAAGGCTGCGGTGGCTGGAAGCGGCCACTGCACTCCAGTCTGGGTGACAGTGAGACTCCAACTCAAAAAAAAAAAAAGTTTGTTTTTCAGGTTGTATTTAGATTTAACTCTCTGTGGGAACATGAGAACTAAATTAGCTCAGTCTCGTCAGTCTTTGCTATTTAGCCACCTACCGTTGCAGCCGGCTGTGCACATGCGTCCCTGGTGTCTGAGTTGCACGTGATGCCTGCCCCTGTGGAGGCCTGCTTCTGTGCCTGCTCGAACACATCCATGCTCACATGGGTGGAAAATGGTCTGGGGCGTCCATCTGCCCAGGCAGTGCGCTGAGGAGGGGTCAGCACCGGGCTGTGGCCCCTCCCCATCTTTCCTTGCAGGTTTTTCTGCCCTTGTTTATAGCTTTTACAAATTTATCTCACGATTAGTTAAGGTTTAACTTGCGTTCTCACCATCGGGGAAGTCTTGAGGTATTTTGTAGAGCTGCTAGACAGAGGCATGCTGAACTTGGTGGGTGTCTGTTCCGAGGGTCACCCCGCCGCACAGTCATCGTCTCCTGCTGTGTTGGGGGAACAGTGCTCCCAGAAGGTATGCATGTATGTCTTCTGCTTTTTAAAAAAAACCCTTTAAGGATTGATCTACACAGGCCGTTTATAAATTTGAGCTGAAAGCGTGGGGTTGAGAAGAAAGTTTCCTGGGTCGGGGAAGATGACGGTGTGTGCCTCCTCCAGGGACCGCCTAGAACAGCTGGAACGAAAGCGAGAGCGAGAGCGCAAGATGCGGGAGCAGCAGAAGGAGCAGCGGGAGCAGAAGGAGCGGGAACGGCGGGCCGAGGAGCGGCGCAAAGAGCGCGAGGCCCGCCGGGAAGGTACCCGGGAGACTGGCCTCCTCCTCCCTTCTGCAGGGGCTGCTCCCGAATGGGAGATTAGCAGTGCCGCAGCTTAGCACACTGGGCCTGCCCTTCGTGAGTGCATGTGCTGCACCATGGGTGTCCACGCCTGGCAGAACTGACAGCAGTGAGGAGGGCCTGGACAGGGACCGAGCAGGGACAGGGCAGAGGGAGGCCTGTCTGCTTGCATCTGGGAGCAGGGACAGGCAGCCAGGCCAGTCACCCAGCAGAGGTATGTGGTGTGATGCGTCTGCTGCCACCAGTCACCAGGCATGTACTTTATGAGGTGGGCTCTTGGCTTCTGTGTTTTCTTGACCCCTTCATTTTTGTTCCAGCTTTTTGAAATTGTGGTAAAGGACATGTACCATGAAATCTACCACCTTAACCATTTTAAGTACACAGCACAGTGGTATTAAGCACTTTTATGACGTTGTACAGCCATCCCCACCACCTATCTCCAGGACTGTCTTCCTCTTGCAAAACCGGAACTCTGTCCTCTTCAGACTGCAGCTCCCCATGACTCCAGGCCCCCACTGTTCCCCAGCCTGTGTATTTGACCATGCTTGGAACCTTGTGGGAGCGGAGGCATCATGCATTTGTGTCTTGTGACCAGCTGCTTCCACTCAGCCCGAGGACCTTGGTCCTTGTAGTGTCTTCCTGTCCTTCCTTCTAGGCTGACTGTGAGACCCTCGTTTCTGTCCTTTGCTGTTTTCTACATTATTACTTTATCCTCCGTTGCCATCTTCTTTTGCGTGTAGTAGATTTTTTTTTTTTTTGAGTTGGAGTCTCACTCTGTCGCCCAGACTGGAGTGCAGTGGCCGCTCCCGGCCACCGCAGCCTCGACCTGCTGGGCTCCGGCAATCCTTCCGCCTCAGCCTTCCGAGTAGCCGGAATTACAGACATGCGCTACCACGCCCGGCTGATTTTTTGATTTATTGTAGAGATGAGGTCTCACTGCCCAGGCGGGTCTCGAACCCGCGGACTCAGGCAATCCACTCACCTCAGCCTCCCAAAGGCGCGGGATGACAGGTTGAGCCACCGAGCCCGGCTTGTAGTAGATTTTTTGCAGTGAGATACTTACATTCCTTTCTTGTGTACCTGTTATAGCTTCTTTGTGACTGCTAATTTGAATTTATACCAGTTTAACTTCAACAGGGTGTGGGAATTCTGCTCCTCTAACAGCTTGTCCCACCCTTGTCAATTACATCTTTATACAAGCACATGGTTTGCCCATAAACATAAAAGGATTCATATTTACTGTGTTAGCCTATTATGTACAAAATAAAAGAGTTAATAACCATACTAACTTTATAGCTAATTGGTACTTTTTATACTGTATTAGTTTTTTAAGTCCCTGGGCCATGCACAGTGGCTCATGCCTGTAATCCCAGCTCTTTGGGAGGTGGAGGCGAGAAGATTGCCTGAGCTCAGGGGTTCAGGAACCAGCCTGGACAACTCTCTATAATAAGTCAAAAAATTAGCCAGGCATGGTGACATGTGCCTCCAGTTCCAGCTACTTGGGAGGCTGAGGCAGAAGGATTACCTGAGCCCAGCAGGTCGAGGCTGCAAAGGCCATGAGCATGCTACCACATTCCAACCTGGATGACAGAGTGAGACTCAGGTTCAAAAAAAAAAAAAGTGGAATTGTAAGACATTACGAAAATACTAGCGTTTGAATTGCCTATATATTTACCTTCCTTGACAAGTTGCTGTCTGATGTGCTTTCATTGCACCCTACAGCTTCCTTGAGCATTTTTCAAAGGGTAGGTCTCGTGGTAAGGCACTCCCTCTGAGAATTTCTAAAATCCTCCCTCACATTTGAAGGTCAGTGTGCTGGACAGTATGCTCTTGGTTGTCAGGTGGTTTTTTTTTTTTTTTTTTTCCTTTTAGCACTCTGAGTCTGCAGCCCACCGTCTCTGGCCTCCAAAGTTTCTGATTAGAAATCTACTGAGGCTGGGCTCGGTGGCTCAACCTGTAATCCCGTGCCTTAGGCTGAGGTGAGTGGATTGCCTGAACCCGCGGGTTCGAGACCCGCCTGGGCAACTTGGCGAGACCTCATCTCTACAATAAATCAAAAATGAGCCGGGCATGGTAGCGCGCGCCTGTTGTTCCAGCTACTTGGAAGGCTGAGGCGGAAGGATTGCCGGAGCCCAGCAGGTTGAGGCTACAGTAGCCAGGAGCAGCCACTGCACTCCAGTCTGGGTGACAGAGTGAGACTCCAACTCAGAAAAAAAAAAAAAAGAAAGAAATCTACTGAGGCCAGGCTCGGTGGCTCAGCCTGTAATCTCAGCACTTTGGGAGGCCGAGGTGAGTGAATTGCCTGAGCCCGCGGGTTCAAGATCCCCCTGGACAACTTGGCGAGACTTCATCTCTACAATAAATCAAAAAATAGCCGGATGTGGTAGCGCACACCTGTAGTTCCAGCTACTTGGAAGGCTGAGGCAGAAGGATTGCCGGAACCCAGCAGGTCAAGGCTGCAGTGGCTGGGAGCGGCCACTGAACTCCAGTCTGGGTGACAGAGTGAGACTCCAACTCAAAAAATAAAAAAATTAAAAAGAAATAAATCTACTGACTGAGGGTCCCTCAGTGTGACAAGTTGCTTCTCTCTTGCTTTTAAGATTCTCCTTGTATTTGGCTTTAGACTCCTTGACTGTGTGTCTCAGTGTGGGTCTCTGAGTTCATTCTACTTGGAGTTGATTGAACGTCTTAATGTTTATATTTGTGCCTTTCATTGCATTTCTTCAGATATTCTCTCTGCCCCTTTCTCTTCTCCCTACGGGACTCCCACGTTGGGTAGGTTAGTTTGTCTAGTCGGTCTTTTTTTCTTTCTGTTTCTCAGACTCACTTATTCCCTGTGTCCAGTCTTCAAGTTCACTGAGTCTTTATTCTTCCTGCTCGATTCTGCCTTTGAATCCCTCTAGTGGACTTTTTATTTCAGTTATTGTACTTTTTGGCCCTAGAGTTTCCCTTTGGCTTCTTCCTTGATTTTCTCTGTTGATTTTTCTGTTTTGTTCCCACAGAGTTTTCTTGAATTTCTCCATGTCTTCCTTAGTTCTTTGAGTACCTTTAAGACGGTGTTTGAAGGTCTTTCTCTAAGAAATCTGCCATCGGGTATTTTTTCACGGACAGTGTCTGTTGGGTTTTTTTTTTTTTCCTTTTAATGGGACTTACTTCCTTGTTTTGTGTGTGTGTGTTGTGCTATTTTTGTCAAAAATTGGGCATTTAATATCATAGTGTCTCTCCCAGATCCTCAGGGTTTGCTGTTGTGTTGTTTTGATTGTTGGTGGCTGTCTCTGTGCCTGAAAACAGCCTGGGGTATGAACTTCACAGTGTTTTCTGAGCCTGCACCTTTCCCAGGGCGTGTGCAGTTACATTCTAATTTCCTGTACATCCACCTGTTTTTGAATGTCCTGGTCCTTGAACGTCTGACTCCCAAAAGGGATAAAAGAGAATAATGAAAGGAGAGGAGCCCTGCTTGTTAGTAGCTGCCTTGGAGCAACTTTGGCAGGGAGTGGGGGCAGGCAGCAGCCGTGGCCACTGCCTGTCATTTACTCCTCTGTGATCATAGCCCAGGCACCTGTGTTGGGAGGACAGGATCTTTTTCTCCTCCCTGGGTCTGGCCGGCTGTGTGAGCTGCTCAGGATGGTGAGCACAGCTGCCTGCCACCGGTGGGGATGGGTAGCTGCTGCCATGCTGTGCGGTCAAGCTGGCTGGAGGTAACGACCGCTGACCATCCAGATTTCCCTTGCAAGTTAAGAACCTGACTAGGGCCAGGCTCGGTGACTCGGTCTGTAATCCCAGCACTTTGGGAGGCCAAGGTGAGTGGATTGCCTGAGCCCGCGGGTTCGAGACCAGCCCAGGCAACTTGGCGAGACCTCGTCTCTACAATAAAATAAAAATAGCCGGGCGTGGTAGCGCGCGTCTGTAATTCCAGCTACTCGGAAGGCTGAGGCGGAAGGATCGCTGGAGCCCAGCAGGTCGCTGCTGGGGGGCCGTGAGCGTGCATGCCACTGTACTCCAGCCTGGACAAAGGAGTGAATCTCCAACTCAAAAATAAAAAAAGAACCTGACCAGATGCCAGAGCTCCACAGTACTTGCCTAAGACTGATTCTGCCAATGCAATTGTTGTCTAGGTGGGGAGGCCGGTTCCTGGTGCTTCCTCCTCCATCTTCCCAGAATCTTCTCCCGTCCTTTCCTTTTTGGCCAATGAAGATCAGTCTAGAAGGTCCACCTGGGTCCTCGGGGCCAGCTCACGGCCTCCAGGTGGGAACTTTTTCTCCCTGGGCTTCTTGGCCTCTGACCCTGATGCTGTTGGCACCGTGTCTGCACTGTGGGTGTCTGCCCAGGTGTGGGTGTGGGAGATGAGAGGCAGCTGTGCCCAGGGTGGGCCCTTGTTGGAAAGACAGCATTGCCAGTGCTATGTCCCGCTCTGTCCTGTGTGCGCCAGTGTCTGCACATCACCGAACAATGAGAGAGGACTACAGTGACAAGATAAAAGCCAGCCACTGGAGCCGTAGTCCACTGCGGCCGCCCAGAGAGCGCTTTGATCTCGGAGACACCCGGAAGTCAGGTGAGCCCAGGCCAGTGCCCGCTCAGAGGCCAGCACAGTGCGGGTCTTTTCGGGGGATTTAGCGTCCTTTTTTGTTGTTGCTGAGTTGGAGTCTTACTCTGTTGCCCAGACTGGAGTGCAGTGGCACACTCCCGGCTACCACAGCCTCAACCTGCTGGGCTCAGGCGATCCCTCTGCCTCAGCCTTTCGAGTAGCTGGACCTACAGGCACACGCTACCATGCCCGGCTAGTTTATTTATTTATTTTAGAGACAAGGTCTCACCATGTTGCCTGGGCTGGTCTTGAACCTGCAGGCTCAGGCAATCCTCTCACCTCGGCCTCTGAAAGTGCTGGGATTACAGGCCACCGCACCCAGCCTAGCATACATTTAAAAATTAATTTCAGGAAAGCCCAGCTAAGTAATTTTGTCTTCATAATAAAATGACATGCGGGGCCAGGCTCGGTGGCTCAGCCTGTAATTCCAGCACTTTGGGAGACCAAGGCAAGTGGATTGCCTGTGCCCGCGGGTTCAAGACCATCCCAGGCAACTTGGCGAGACCTCGTCTCTACAATAAGTCAAAAATTAGCCGGGTGCAGTAGTGCACGCCTATAGTTCCAGCTACCTGGAAGACTGAGACAGAAAGATCGCCAGAGCCCAGCAGGTGGATGCTGTGATGGCTTGAATGTGCTACTGCACTCTAACCTGGGTGACGGAGTGAGACTCCAACTCCCAAAAAAATGTGGGCTGAAGCACTGTCCATGAGGAACAGAGTTGTTAACACCTGTGTTTATCAGGTGAGAGATATATGACTGGTCCTGTTAGGAGTCACTCTTCCAGTCACATGAATGTGGATGAATTCTTTTTTATACAAAATGTTTACCATTGTGTGAAGGGCACCATCTGATTGTGGGGTGGTGGTATCTTAACATCTCCCCATATTTACCTTTCATGCTTTGTTTCATAAGTTAAAGAAGAGAAGATGGAAGAACGCGACCTGCTGTCCGATTTACAGGACATCAGTGACAGTGAGAGGAAAACCAGCTCAGCTGAGTCCTCATCAGGTACCCAGGCTTGCCCGGTGAGGCCCTGACCTTGCTGCCCAGGGAAGGCCAGACCTTGCCTCCTGATGCCGCTGTCTTCCCACAGCAGAATCAGGGTCGGGCTCTGAGGAGGAAGAGGAGGAAGAGGAGGAGGAGGAGGGCAGCACCAGTGAAGAGTCGGAGGAGGAGGAGGAAGAGGAGGAGGAGGAAGAGGAGGAGGAAGAGACCGGGAGCAACTCCGAGGAGGCATCTGAACAGTCTGCGGGTGAGGAGACCATGGGGCCCAATGATTCCAGTGTGATGGTGGAAGCATTCTGTGTCTACTGTGGAGTCGCCAGAAACTGGAGTAACACTGTGAAGTCTCACTTAAGCTTTCCCAGCAGAAGAGCCGTACCGTTGGGGACTACGGGAGACCCCAGAGCTCTGTGTTGTTTTCTTTATAGAGACAAGGTTTCACCATGTTACCCAGGCTAGTCTCAAACTCCTGGGCTCGTGCAGTCCTTCCATCTTGGCCCCCCAGTGTGTTGGGACTACAGGTGTGAGCGCTGCCTCTGGCCCCAGATTTTCTTAGAAGGTGCCATGCTTTCCCCAAGTGGGGCCAGGCTTGCCTTCTGCTTGTGATGGAGCCTGGTGGTTCCTAGAGCACCACCCAGCCCAGTGCTGATCTGAGCAGACGCCTGTTTCCTTTTGCAGAGGAAGTGAGTGAAGAAGAAATGAGTGAAGACGAAGAGCGAGAGGATGAAAACCGCCTCCTGGCTGGTAAGAGGCTCCCCCGAGCAGCGCGCCCTCCTCGCCTTCCTGTGGTGCTGCCTGTGCCCGTGCGGCAGGCCAGACCGCCAGGCACGTGACGCCTGGAAAACTGCCGTGAGCTCTTGTTCTGGCCGAGGCTGAGGCCGGCGAGCCAGGAGGCACGTGCCTTCCCGAGAAGTCCGCCACTGGCTGTTCACAGCACCTGCTGGCTGGCGTTCCGGAGCGCAGGGTGGCATTAGCTGGAGGGTGGCCTTCTGAGCACCCCACCGCTGCTCAGACACTGGGGGAGCTGGGAAGTCCCAGCCCGGGTCTAGCCCTCAGAACAGGAGGGTAAATGACAGGGCCTCTGGAGTCTTGGGGCACAGGTCCCAAGAGAGGGGACTTGGGGTGGCCTCTGGGAGGTGGCAAAACCATGGTAATGTGAACTTCAGGCATGCTCGCCTGCTCCGCTGCCCCAGCATCTGGGTCTGTGACTCTCTCAGCCAAGCCCGCCAAGCCTTTCGAGCTCAACACCCCTGTCACCGCACCTTGTGAGGAGGTGTCCCAGCAAGACACGGCCTCTCCGCAAGCTCACAGCCCTGGAGCCGGAGACCTGAGACCCTTGCCCAGCCCGGGTTCCTTCCTGAGGTTCAGCTTCTCTAGTTCCAGAGTCACGATTTGACCGAGATTCCGGTGAAAGTGAAGAAGGGGAAGAAGAAGTGGGTGAGGGGACCCCGCAGAGCAGCGCCCTGACCGAGGGGGACTACGTGCCTGACTCCCCAGCCTTGTCGCCCATCGAGCTCAAGCAGGAGCTGCCCAAGTACTTGCCGGCCCTGCAGGTCAGGCCCCGCCCCCTGGCTCAGCATTGGTGCTTGCCACCTGAGGGGGTTGCTGGGGGGCTCCCCTGGGCAGCAGAGACTGGCGTGGCCTCCTGCGATTCCCTGGCCATGCTCCTTGCACATGACAGCACTGAGCAGGCAGGGGGCACCCCCAGGACCCCTTGCAGTGAGGACGGCAGATGGCCAGGGCCACCCTGTCTTCCCTAGACCTGTCCTTCTCTGCAGGGCCGTGTCCCTCCACTCGGCCCCTCCATGGGTGGGTCAGTGGACATCAAGGCCTTCTCATCACCAGCCACTGTGCAGGGGGTCAGAGGGAAGCCGTGGGAGTCAGTGCAGACACACGTGGCTGCAGACTTCCAGTTCAAGAAAGCGTCAGTATGCGAAGGGCACCCCTGGGAGGGCGCAGGGTCCTCTCTGGCCCACATGGCAGCTTTGTCCCCTGCCCACACTCGGCACTTCGGAGCAACACAGGTCTGCTCGGGGGCCACCCAGGGATGATGATGGCCCTGGCCCCAGGGTACCCAGGGAAGGCGGCACAAGCGCAGGGTTGTCCTGTTGTGTGCAGTGGGCGGTACCTGTCCTCAGTGTCATCTTAGTGCCATGAGCAGGCACGTGCTGAGGTTCACAGAGATACTTGAGACAGGCTTTTGTTGTATCTTGTGATAAGGTGGCATGTGGTCATGACGGAATCAGAACAGAGCTGCCCCTGACCCTCCTGCGCACACTCCGTGCCCACCCGCCACTGAACTCAGCAGGTGGTGCTGGGTTCCTCCCCTGTGGGGATTTGCTATGGGCCTGGCCAGTGTCCCTCCTGCAGACATGTCTGCTGGTGCTTCCTCCCAGGGCTGCCGGAGTGTGGAGGAGTTCCAGTGCCTGAACAGGATCGAGGAAGGCACCTATGGGGTGGTGTACAGAGCAAAGGACAAGAAGACAGGTGGGTGTCGGGCTGGGGCGGACCCTTGAGAGGAAGAGAGGTGGCCAGGGCCCTGTGGCCCAGAGAGCCTCTGGCCTCACCTGTGCAGCTGTTTGGAGGCTGAATGCCTCGGCATCCGTAGAACCCAGAGAGAGCCTACCCCTGGGCAGTGGTGCTCCACATACTAGGTTCCACAGGGGCCGTGGCCAGGGCAGCTGACGGGAGCTCTGGTCAGTGGGTGGCCCCCCTGTGTGCCCCATGCTGCCTGTGCATCAGTCCCGAGAGGCCAGATCTGGAGACATCTGAGCAGCTCTGTACCCTGGTGGTGGGTGCGTGTTTCTGGCGTGTGGGCCTGTGAACTTGGTGGTCACATGGAAGGGAGGAACAGGGGCATGCGCACACGTCAGGGCTGCAGCCAGCCCTCTTGGCACGCAGGCCCCTGTGCCGTCCCAAAGCTCTGAACAGAGGCCGGGTCCCCATGAGATGCAGATAGTTCACGTGGGGCCTGTTGCTCCTGCCTCCTGACAGATGAGATTGTGGCTCTGAAGCGGCTGAAGATGGAGAAGGAGAAGGAGGGCTTCCCCATCACGTCGCTGCGCGAGATCAACACCATTCTCAAGGCCCAGCACCCCAACATTGTCACCGTCAGGGTGAGCCCGCCCGCCCATCCACATGCCGGCGGCCCAGAAAGCTCCTCGGTGCAGGACGTGCATTCCTGGGGATGCAGAAGCAAGCGAGGCCTCCCGGAGTGTCCCTGTGGCCTTCCAGTCCCGGGCCCCACTCCGGGGCAGGGCTTCCCGGGAGAGCCCAGCTGCGGGGCAGGCTGGGGCGGGCCTGGGGACGAGCCCGGCAGCTGTGGCCGTCCCTGCAGGAGATCGTGGTGGGCAGCAACATGGACAAGATCTACATCGTGATGAACTACGTGGAGCACGACCTCAAAAGCCTCATGGAGACCATGAAGCAGCCCTTCCTGCCAGGTGAGGGCTGGCCCAGGGCCTGTGGGCGTCGCTGGGGCTGCGGCTGCGGGGTGAGCGTGCATGTGAGCCGTGTCCCCCTTAGGTGAGGTGAAGACCCTGATGATCCAGCTGCTGCGAGGGGTGAAGCACCTGCATGACAACTGGATCCTGCACCGAGACCTCAAGACCTCCAACCTGCTGCTTAGCCACGCCGGCATCCTCAAGGCAGGCGCCTTGGCCCGCCCTGCCCATGGCCCTCTGGCCCGTGCACACCTCCGGCCCCCAGCTGCTGGCCCTCGGGCTCCACTACAGTCCCAGCTCCCGGCTCAGGCCCCTCAGGCCCCGCCCATGACCCACAGCCCCTGCCTGCCCCGGCCCTCGGCCCCAGTCCACAGCCCCTGGCTCGTCCTCTTCCGGCAGGTGGGCGACTTTGGGCTCGCGCGGGAGTACGGATCTCCTCTGAAGGCCTACACCCCGGTCGTGGTGACCCTGTGGTACCGGGCCCCGGAGCTCCTCTTGGGTGCCAAGGTAGGTCCAGGAGCCTGAGAGCCTCACCACCCCAGGCAGCCTTCTGCAGACACGTGACCCTGTTCTCCTGAGCCACATCTCTTGGCCTCCTAGGAGTACTCCACGGCTGTGGACATGTGGTCGGTGGGTTGCATCTTCGGGGAGCTGCTGACCCAGAAGCCCCTATTCCCCGGGAAGTCGGAGATTGACCAGATCAACAAAGTGTTTAAGGTGGGTCTGGGGCCTGACTGTGGGTTCCTCTGTGGGTGGGGCTTCCTCCTGCAGTTGCCTGCAGGCCTGGGAGGAATGGGGTGGGGGCCACGGTGTGGCCTCTTGGTGGCTTGCGTTCTAAGCGTTGTGGACCCTTCTCTGCAGGGCTGGCTTTTAGACTTTCCTGTCCTTTAGGACCTGGGGACCCCCAGTGAGAAGATCTGGCCTGGCTACAATGACCTGCCAGCAGTCAAGAAGATGGCCTTCAGCGAGTATCCCTACAACAATCTGCGCAAGCGCTTTGGGGCCCTGCTTTCAGACCAGGGGTTCGACCTCATGAACAAGTGAGCCCACGGCACGGGGCCAGGTGGCTGTAGCCCCAGCCGCCCCTCCCAGACCACTCCAGCCTGGGCACCCCAGCCCCGCCACGCCCCCAGCGCCCCTCAGCTCTGGTGCCACGGCCTGTTTCCCCAGGTTCCTGACCTACTTCCCCGGGAGGAGGATCAGCGCTGAGGACGGCCTAAAGCACGAGTATTTCCGCGAGACGCCCCTGCCCATCGATCCCGCCATGTTCCCCACGTGGCCTGCCAAGAGCGAGCAGCAGAGGGTGAAGCGCGGAACCAGCCCGCGGCCCCCCGAGGGCGGCCTGGGCTACAGCCAGCTGGTGAGGCCTGCGCGTGGGGATGCCCTGGGCGGGCCACCGGGCAGGGTCCTTATGGCGCCCGGCTCTCCTCAGGGTGACGATGACTTGAAGGAGACCGGCTTCCACCTCACGACCACCAACCAGGGGGCCTCGGCTGCAGGCCCTGGCTTCAGCCTGAAGTTCTGAAGATCACAGTGGCCGCAGGCCAGCCCACGCCCCGGGGGGATTCGCCCAACTGCAGACTGCTGTGGCTGCTGGAGCTGTCTTGAGCCTCTCAGCTCCTCGTCGTTGTTCTGTTTTGTTTTTTGTTATTTTGGTTTGTAAATTTGTTGAATGAAATCACATGTCCTTGTTGTGGAAGAACAGGCTGAAACCAGACACGCCCCACGTGTCCAGCAAGGAGAGAGCATGTCTGGTGCGCCCCGCGCACGTGTGCGTGGGCAGGCCGAGATTTGGGAAGGAGCTAGGGGGTCTTTAATTTTCAGACTGGAGACCCGGTTCTGCGCTGGACAGGCGATGCCTTCCTGCTGTCACCCGGATGTCCAGACCAGCTCTGTCCCCACTGACAGGCCCAGACCTGGAAACAGCAGCCTCAGGTTCAGTGGGCTATTTTTATATATGAGGTTGTTTCAAGTTTTCAAATGGAATAAAATATTCTTGGAGGAAAGCTCTGGTATGTCCTTTCAGAGGCTACGCAGGGACACCTAGAGAGCATCGGGTCACTCATTTCCTGACCCCACGTGGGGGGTTCTTGGTCTGCGGGACGCCTGCCCGAGACAGCAGAAGAGGGTCTCCTCTGGCCAGGCTGAGGCCCCCTCCTTCCTGGTCCAGCCTAGCTCTCTCCTTCAGGAAGCCCTCCTTGCTGTCATCTTCCAGCAAATCCCAGATGGAGCCTCCGGGCTCCCCTTGCGTCGCCCCAGCACCTGGGCCTCACCGCGTCCGCTCTATCAGCGGCCGCCTTGGCAGAGCCTCCTCACGCCAGCAACCCCGTGGAGGCATGGGTGTCCTGCCGCAGGCCCCCAGACAGTCCGACGGGCCGGGCCCGCCTCTGCCCGCTGTCCCCGGCTGCCCGGCGCCCCCAAGAAAGGGCGCAGAGGCGTCAGAGAGAAAGCGCTTTATCGGGCCGGGCTCAGCCCCGCACACGCACGCGCCAGGAGAAGGTGGTGAGCACGCGCTGGTGGCGGCGCACCACACACGTGTAGGTGCCCTCGTTCACGGCGTTGGCGACGATGCTCAGGCGCGCCTCGCCCAAGGCCAGGTAGCCGGGGTAGGAGAACTCCAGGGGCTCTCGGTCCTTGTACCAGCTGCGGGCACGCGGCGTCACGTGGCGCAGCC